TCTCATGCACCCAATGAGACAAGTGGAACGTGGACGGGACAGCACCTTATTGGCTGGGGGTTGTTCAGCTTGGGTGGGCGGTTACTGTATAATGAGGTGCGAAGAATCCTCCCACTGTCGGAAGGGAGCCCCAGTTACCTACATCCACCTAGCGCGGTTTTTTACCAGTAAACTGCCCCTCCCAGTGTTTATTTGCTGGGGTGATCTATCCAGGGGCGATAGTCGAAGGAGGCCAGGAGGTGCCCAGGCAGCTAGCCTTGTGAGATCAGGCTTTGTCTGGAGTGTACTTATTGACCATGTACGCATGATGGGATCTGCGGCTGTGGAAAGCCATCCTGTATTGCTCCTACGGTCACGAAGACAGGCAGACTATCACGTCACGTCAAGGTACACTCTCATCGTGATGAAATATCAGCCAGCGTTTGTTCGCGTGACTTTAGTGAAGTAATAACGATGGCACAATAGGGTAGCAGTTTGAATAATCACCTTTTTGTAGTGGGAAATAGCAGTACAATGAACTTGCATTTCACATGAAAGGGGATTCAATCATCATGAGGTCAGACTTCGAAAAAAATTGGTCCAGTTCTGTGGTAGCTGCAAACAAACAGACATATCCGAAGGCTGATTTAGGGGAATATCCGAACAGTGCTCACTCATTGGAATGTATTTATTTCATTTTAAATACACAAACCTCTACTGTCTGCTCATCTCTAGTAACACATAGATAAGATGAATATGCGATAAAATGCAAAGCGTATGAAATATTTATCGGTCTCGAATTGCTCATTAACTTTTGACTACTAAAGAGTAGGCAATGTGGGAATCTCACAAAGCGACGGAGTGATTGTCTAAATCGGAATTTAAGCAGTAGACCAAGACTTGATTTATTAGAATAACACCCACATGATCAGTCTGGCTTCGTTCCGAAGCTTTGTTCGTTGAGTTCACTTTCATAGTGAGAATAGAACAGGATAATTCCCCAATCAAGGGGAAGCAAATTCCTTCCGCTGAAATTATTTGATGGAAAGCCTGATTGAATACTGGTTGTCACCAACAAACCCAGTGCAATCATAGCTGATAGAAAGAATTTCGGAGCAGATTCCTCAATGAACACGATTGCCCAAGTGAACTTTGCTAGTAGTCCAGCGGATTATGTGAGTAATGAATAGAGTGGGCCGTTTACCCTTGGGTGTGTGTATGCCTGTACCAATATGATGTGATCGTAACTTACTCTACTTGACTCGGGCTGTTGGTGACGCAGTAGTACGCAATCACCTCACTGACTGGGCGAATTATTTTTTCGGGGATAGGGGTGGCTCAGGTGTAGAGTAGGTTCGGTACAGTGTTCATGTGAAAGGCTCAGTGGTGGCTTGCTCTTGAGAGGGAGATCCAAATATCTGATCATCTTCGGATTGAGCTGAGTTATTGCGTTTTGGTTTTTATATGGCAGTTCGATTAAACAGCTTTTCCCGATTAGAAATGCGTTATTCTTTCATCAGTTGTTTGTGTACTTTTCTCCCAAGTTTGAGAGCGCGCATTAAATGACCCAGTAGATTTTATAAAACAACCTTAGCGGTATTTTCATTGTGCGCGAACCCAAATTTCTGCAAACCAACGGACGTGGAAACCTCTCGTTTAGCGTATTGAAACTGCACCTGCCAGTACTGCTTTCTGTGGCAGGTGTAGTGTAATCGTCACAAAATAGGTTTAGGGAAAACATCAAATGCCGGAATTGCTCCCATTAAGCTGGTTAAAACTGAGTACATTGGTGGAACAACTGATGCTTTGTGCCACAAAAGTGCGTTTACTCTGTTGATTCAGCGATCAAGTATAAATACCTAGGATGTTGAATAAAAACGTTCGGATCGGTGAGACGAGCAATTTACTTTGTTCATCATTCCCAGTCTATCTGGACTGAAAAAAACAAGCTTTATAGGAAATGGTTAGACGACCAAGTTATTATTTAATACGAAATTAATGAGCAACCTTGAGTGATTGATAACATCAGATAGAGTTACTAAATTTTTGATTGACATTCAGTCACCACGAAATCCAATCCGCACGCTTAGAAGAATTTCTGTCCGAATGCTCCGAATGAGGGCTGATCTGGGCGTCGACGAGACCAATCCCGTTCACTGAACGACGGTTGCCCTCCCATGTGAGATAGGAAGTTCTGATTGTGTCTCACGGGTGACTGATTAGCCTCGTATCGGTCACGGACAATCTCGGGTTTCGACTGACCCATCCATTCCGGCTTTCGGTAATCGTACGCATCATCATACATTCGACGCGCGGAAATGCCGTATTCCGGTAGATCTCGGCGAGCATGATGCAAATGCGGTTCAGAACGGCCCCATTTGCTTGATCCTTTCTGGCCGTGGAAGCGATCCAAATCAGACCATTGGCCAGCATGTGTACGGTGACCTTCCATATCCGATGGGTGTTTGCCAAAAGTTCGCGAGTTCCCATGAGCCAGTTGGTACATTTGGTAATGATCTGAGGGATTACCATCAGCATGTTTTCCTCGTCGTAGGTTAAGTGAATGTAGATGTTCTTTCGGGGTCATGTCCGGTTGAAGATTATGGTACGGATGGTGATGATAAGAATGATGATGTTTATCATGTGATGTTAGTTTATTCAAATGCGAAGATGGTAGAGGATCAACGCGATGCATCATGTTGCCGTGTTCATGAAGTCCAGCTGGAATTCGGCCTTCCGGTCTCAATGAATGCATGTTCACCGATTTTTCCATATTCCCAGTCTTCATTCCGTTCGATTCAATGGAAGTTTTCATTAACACATTATCTGATTTCCCATGCCCGCCCACAGTTCCACTGAGCTTATCGAAATGCTGAATTGGTAGTTTGCCACCTTTGTCTTGTCCCAAATGCTTTTGTACTTCTNATACGTCGACCGAGCAGGGTGCCTGTGTTTTCTTTCGTGTGTTTTTTCACTGAATCGGACAGTGGTGTGAGGTTTTTGGCCGCAATAATTTTATCCCTCTTCCCATGTGTTTGAACATTTGACTGAGATGGTACTGATGGTGCAGCCCAGGCCAAACTGACGAGCACAATTAGCAAAAGTAAACCGGAACGAAGCGGTCGCATCTTGGTTCGAGTTGTGCCTGACGAAACAGTCCGAGCACAATACCAATCGATAGCTCCCGGAACACGAATGCACGACTTCTTAAATAGGCCAGACAGTCTAAATGCACTCTGTCACTTCCTGATCCACCCTACCAAACGACACTGTCACGAGGAACCAGATGTGATATTATGCACCCCAATGTATTCGATATCGGGTTGCAAGGTCAGTGGACATACGCAATGTGTACTGAGATCAATGAGTTTTATCAACTGGCGCATTGTTCACGATTTGATTATTGAATAGCTGAACATTAACGACGGGGATAAAATCAAAATGAACATGTGAGCTAAATCAGGATTTCCGGCAATCAAGACAACCAAAACCGGCGCAAGAAAATGCATAGGTAATGGCTGAAAAAAAAACTGAAACTGCAACTGCGAAGCTCTGGATCACTCCTAGTGTGATCAAGTTCCTCAATTAGTTATGGGGGGAGTAAATAGTTTCGCAACACTGTCAATTACATCTCACTTACTTAAATTACCACTTAAGAGCGACTAGAAGAGGGAAACTTGAGTCTCGTGCTTCCCAGAAGAGTGGTTAACTTGAGCTTGATGCATAAAGATGAAGTCTGATATATGATGCGTTCACACACTAAAATATCCTCAACTTTACGCATACAACTGACCGATCCTAGTGAAATTAATCGGGAGCCCAATCACGGAACTATTCAAATTCAAAATTCAAATTCAAATTTTTATTATGAGCAAATTACAAAGCTGATGCTTATTGAATCCCAAGGGTCTGTACACACTGGGTTCGTTTGGTAGTACAATGAAATAGCAAATTATAACGTACACTCACGGGTGTTGAAAAGTTAGGTATTTCAATGAGTCATCCAGTTGTGACTTGAATGAATCAATGGTTGGTGCACAAACAATTTGAGGTGGAGGAGAGTTTCAGGTATTACAAGCTCTGAGGCCGAAAGAATGACGCCTACAGTCTGGCCGACTCTTTTGGAGCAACAGTTCAAACGGATGTCCTCTGAGGTGGCCATTCCTAGCTAGTGTTATTGGACTGCTACACGGATGGTTAGGTTAATGTAGTATTTGATATACGATGATCATGCCTCCCCGAGAATTTGCAGCTTTTCATCGTAGGTCTTCGGTTGTAACCCTTTGACCATTTTGGTTAATGTACTCTTCGGACGTTCGAGTGTCGTTTGATCGCGAATCAGCCATGGATTCCAAGCCTGTATTGCATGCTCGGTGTGTGGTCTAATGTATGCTGATAGCTAATGGAGCAATAGGTCTATTGCCATTGATCCAAAAACACGTTTTAGCAATCAAACCCGCTTTATGGCCTGATTGAGGACGTCGCAGTCTTGCTCGCGGATAATATTGCCCAATTTATAAAACAAATGTAAGGCCCGAACAGATCAAAAACGATAGACACACGTTTCTTAAGCAACTAAACAAATGGACATGATTAACTCGACTTCGGAGTTAATCGCATGGATTCTGCGAAATACCCGTCAGGGTAAACAGGTTGCTTGCTGATTTCTGAACTTCACAGTCAGATGGGTTAACCGATTATGTAAAAACTAGTAACGTCTGTGTTGCCTCCTGGATCAGCTGTTAGGGGTTGAGTGCTGTACACGCGTACAGCCGTGGGTTTGTATCCCATTAAGAATGTTGACCATTTACTAATTTAAACTGTCTAGTATCTGCAAAATGTGCATAAACTGAAAGGATGCACTCCGTTTAATAATACATCAGACGATAAGCCGCATCAAAAACAGGATTCTTAAGGTGCCACCACCAGTCAGTCACAAGAAGCTATTACGGTTCTGTATCGAAAAGATCAAATTCAAAGAAAAAGGATTTGATTTGGATGTAACTNTAACTGTTTTGCTCTAATCTTTCTGCATTTAGAGTGAATTGAATAGAAGAAAGTATTGCAATTTTGGAAGAAGCACACAAACCTTAGATTATACGGATACGGCATTGTGAAAACACTATGGCAAACAATGTTTGGTTTCGATAACTTCTTCCCCGGGCTAACAAAGTTGTATAGGATTCAAAGTGGTCAAACTAGTTTAATTGTTTGATGTGATGAATATGATTGGTCGATTGTGATCTTGTCATGTGGCTTGGAAATGAAAATAAAGAGTTATAAATGTTGTTTCTGTTGTTGTTGTTGTTGTTGTTGTGAGGTATGTGTGAGGTATGGAAACGTTCACAGTCGATTGATTGAGCAAGCTATTCCAATCTTTCTGGTCAGCGTCCCTGGGTCATGCCAAAGGTCACGGTCGTTTCGGTCGGCTGTATCAAATTGAGGTCAGGGCAAGCGAAGTGACTGGATCAGTCTCTTTTGAGAACAAAGGGCTGAATTAAGTAGGCGAATAGCCATCACCTCGGCTGTAGCAAGGTGCCGAACACCCTTGGATTGGTTTGCTGGTACTTTATAGATCACCTTGAATAAGTCCTCGTTCGCCTGATGGCCCGTATCTGCAAGGTGTTCTACCACTGCACTTGTAATTGTTTTCCTTATGTCCGTGCTCAACCAGACTGACCTGTACTCCTTGATTCTTTGCGACAATTTCCTGATCCATCGATTATGAGCATTTCCAAACCAAACAACAAAAACAAAGCCTATACCTTTTTCATTTCTAAACCACACACCACAATGATCAAAATCAATCAACGAGAAATTAGTTACAAAATGGTAAAGCCGTATGAAGGCACGAAGCGAATGAGTTCCGACTGCTCCCTCTCTCTCTCTTCCCTAGGGTCATCCTTATATTTTTGAGGATACATGATAATGGAAAAAACGTTGTCTTGATACCGATCGATGGACAGCAGAAGAGTATTTATTAATAATCCAATACATCACATTGATAACTTAATATTAGAGGTGCCTAAGCCACTGCCTAACAAACAAGGAGGGTTAAGTAATGGTGCTTTCAGTATATGGCAGGATCCTCAATGCGTTAGAGTAGTGTTCAGCTCTGGTTCATTTTGCCGATAGTTTTGCGGTTTCTTCATCCGTTACCAGCTTACCCATGATATGCTTTAAGGCAAACGCTTTTGTGCTCACTTGAGTGGATTCTAATGAGCGACTTACGACTTACCATGGCTTCTATAGCGGGTGAAACTCCCCGTGGGATTGACTGTTTTTCGAGTGAATCCGATACGAAAAGTGTCTATTAAATTACCATTTCCAGTCAAATAATCCGAGAAGTACTGGTATGTGATACCCATTGCTAAATATGCAGGCGCTTTGGTTCCTTAATACGTCCAGACTACTAAGTGACCGTAAATAACGTGTTACCAGAAAAATTCTACACATGTAACACCACAACATAAGAATATAATGAAACTGAGTTGTTACTTTGTTACTAGAAGACTGCGCTATGGATTACTTCGGCTTGATATGGATACTTTGGTTGTTAAGTTGAAAGCTGAAATAGACCGGACAGTACATCTATGCTGCTGCCACACTGATCTCTCCCGAAATCAACTCCTATTTATGTGTCTTATTTTGCAGGCCAATGACGGCAAAGGAATGAGCACACTGGTGGGCTACGACATCAATCTCTATCCAGCCTATGTACTCGGTTTCTCCGGAAACGGTGTCCGAGTGGCCATTGTGGATGACGGTTTGGACTATGATCATTGCGATTTGAAGGACAACTACGATTCGGAAATTTCCACTAATCTGGTCGATCCAGAAGGTGGGAAAAATTATCCCATTCCACGGGGTAAAACAATTCCAAAGTCTCAGGGGTGAGTCAACAGTTGTGATGTGCTTTGACTATAACACTGCTATTTAATCTGAACACAGATACTCACTAGAAATAAGTGAATTACAAAATGAGTCATAGTTTCTGAAGCATTGAGGAAATTCTTTTATCGTACAGTTACGGTAAAATTATTTTTGACCTCTTTAATCTTCAAGTTTTCAATTTGTTTTTATCAATTTTTCAATCGCATGATGAACTTCTGGGGCATTATAGTTTGAGAGCAGGATGTGGACATCTAGGTGTCGATGTCAGCGGGACTCGAATCCGCGACATTTATGGGAGATGGTGACCGGTCTCAATCGATCACTGCCGCTCGGCTAAGGTTACGAGCATCTTTACTTGACGGTGGACAAAATACTGTCACTTAATAACATGGATAACGCTATATATTGAATTCCATCATTTACAGAGCAAATGAAGCGTGAACGTAAAAGCTACCAAGAACTAGATTGCTGCTTCGATGTGATTAATCCTCATCAGCAATAGTGCGAATCCAGTGAACAACCAACCTGGGATGGAATCAAAAACTTACACTGCTGACATACAACTAAATCATAGCTAGCCGGTAATTTTGAATTTCGTAGTTTTCCTAATATTCGATGGTAATTTGAATCAAGTTACTCAAAAAAATAACGAGTGTTAAAAGATGTGGCCTCGTAGGTAAGTTGATCGAGCGTGCGCTATGTAAAGCACGGGTGGCGTCCATACGTGGGTTCGAATCCTACCGAGGCTGCTGAACTTTACACAATCTCAAAATATAAATGATAATGAATAAGGACTTTACCAGTTATTGCATCCCAGTAGTTTGATATATTAATAGCGAAGATTTGGGAAGGTTTTAAAAGGTTCGTATATTTTCGGTATATCATCTGTAAACATTTTCGTTTCGAGTGCCTCTTTCACGCCTTCATTTCCAACAGGCATGGAACGCAATGTGCAGGTTTGGTCGCAGCTGTTGCCAATAACGAATACTGTTCTCACGGCGTATCCCACAAAGCGAGAATAGGCGGTATGTTCAACCAAAGTGTACCATAAACGTGATCAATGTTATTCTAGGCCATCCGGATATTTTCTCTTTCTTATAAATATATATATATCATTTCATATATGTCCACCAGGTTTTCCCAAAGGCTGCTGATGGGCTCAGCGATTTTGCCTTAATGAATCATCCGAAAAACCGAAAACATATATCACATTTTATCTCTGCTTAAATCTTAAATTCCGCGCATCATTCGTTGACACGATCGGAGACTGTCTCTTTTCTAGCACATCTTGTTTCAAAAGTAAGAAAAACCAAGCACGGACAGTGTTCCTTCTCTTAAACTACAATGCTGGGAAGCACACTGCCTCTATTCGACTGTGCCGAGCTCCATCAGCAATGAGGATTCATTGAAGCAACCCGTGTTTGCTGACTCACAGCGAGAACGCATGCATAATATTTACCTCACCAAGGAGTATATGATCAGTTTTTTATCATGTCTGGGAAAGATATAGAACAGTTCATCATTGCAACCTTTTTGCGAGTATCACATCTCATGCAGTACAACTCTAGCCGCCGAGATCACCACTGGACGGGGAACATTCTGAAACTTGCTAGTTTACCAGAGTATAGGAGGGGTTTGATTCAATTATACCGTGGCTTTTATTGAGTACACAGGAAACAACCTTCAAAGTTCGAAAGCGGTGTTGGCTCGGTGGTTACTTCACCAAATTATCACTCCGGAGATGTGTTCGACCCTGCCCCCCAACAACACCTAACTTCCCCATTGTGTGTTGAATGACAGCCGTTTGATTGGCAGCTTCCCTCTTTCTGAAAATTGCATATTCAATAAAAGGAAGTGAAAATGAAAGGAAAAATGCTGTTTCAACCTAATTTGAAACTACATGTGCCCGGTGATTGGTTGACTAGATCTTGGTCAATCTTCTTGAAAGGCTGTTCATTCCGGCCAATCACCTGTTTTTGCCTCCTGTTGATACGGTTGTTTTTCCTGGAACAGTAAGAATGCTGACTACGTGAAAAATGTATCTTGCTACTCTATTTCAGTTAGAATAACTTATAAGAAGATGCACTAGGCGAAATTTATGCAGCAAACCACTTTTCAGTTGGTTGCTTGAGTTACTTGAGTTCACTTTTCACTACAGTCCTCGAATAATGATTATTCCACATTTACCTCAAACTTCATGAATAGTATGCTAGTTTCTTTGGCCTGGAGACTGAAGACAGTGATAAAAGTGAACCAAGCCGGATCAACGATAGACGGTGGTATCGTCGCGTGATTGCAGATTTACATCGATCCCCGTTGAATCTTCTTCTGGATTCAAAAGTTTCTGGCTAACGAAATGGTTTTAACTCACTTGTTGTTAGGCAATTTTTGCTCGAAGAAAATTGCATTTCTTTGAGTATCCCGTGCAACAGTCATACTCACAAACATACTACAAAACAACTACAACACTTGCTGCTCCATCATTCACTCAGTTGTGACTCAATCCCTAACACTTGATCAAATCATACCCTTTTTGTTTCATAACATTATCTCGCAGTATCGCTGTGGTCAATTGTATGTGTATCCTTCACAAATTTCTCGTTTCTTTGTTGCAGTCTGACCTGATCAGCTGCTTTTGAAAATACAGAATAAAAGTTAGATAATTTCAGTGATTTTTCCTGTTTACGAAATGTTGAGTCTTTATTTACATTCCTCAAACTCCGAGGAGCTTCGATCAGACAGAGTTTGAACAGTTGTTTGAACCGGTTCGATAGGAATAACTACCAGGGTTTGTAGTGTTATAAATCCAAAAGGCGTTGCCAGTTTTGGGTAGATAAGGGTACATGGAACGAAACATCTAATTTGCAACACTTGGTTAGTATTATCGAGATCGTTTTTCCATCTGTGACCATCAGTCTCGCCTTATTTTTGTCTCTTATGTAGTTGTAAAAGTAAATTCCTCAATCCGCTCGTGAATTCCGTGGGAATCTAATAGCCCTTTCTTGATGAGCGAAAACTATTACTGAAAAATGCTAGTAGTACCTCACAACATTGGTACAAAGGCAATGCGATTCTTTGTGCAACGACCGTTTTCATCCTTTCCGTCTCCCTACCCCATATGAAATGTACCACAATTGATTCTGTTTCTCATTTTAGGGATTCGAGTTCTGGGAGAACGTGTGACCGATTCGTTGGAAGCTCAAGCTTTTTCTCATGCATGGAACAAGGTGGATATTTACTGCGCATCATGGGGTCCCACAGATGATGGGATGACCATGGACATGCCCCGTAAACTTGCCCTATCCGCAATCAGAAAAGTCTGGCGAGAGGTAAATTTAGTTGAATATTTTCTGTTCGCCGTATCTTCCGTACCCAAATCCACTTTAAAACAGAACAGGATATCAGGAAACAAACAGGCTTCCTTGTGGTCAAGAGATAAACCAATTATATTACTTAAAACATAAATTTTAGGCGAATATCTGTTTTCGATGACTTCATTCTCGATCCAATAAAATCAACTTTATATGAAAAAAATTACAACGGAACTTTTAAAGACATGACACACATGGAGGTCATTTTGAGAACGTGGGCTCGGGAGAGTCAGTGGATTAAATGTACGTGAAGACAGCCGAGTGAATGGCAGATTGATGCCATTTTTATAATTTAAAAATATACAACAGTGAACAGCCTTGTATTCAATTGTTTATCCACTAGTTTGTGGATCATCCACTGATTACTGGCTGAGGAAAACATCAGTTTACGGTCCTGAGACCGGATTTTGCTTATACTTTGATCTTCACTCACATTTACGCATTAATTCAGGTAATACGGTTCGATTCGGGGGAAGGTTTCTTTGAGTGTGGTGATGGTCACAGGAGCCTGAGTGTTCTTACGGACCAGGGTGTATCTGTCCAAGAAATGATGATTTCGAAAGCTGAAGACTATTTCATTAGGACAATCAGAGGCGAATCGTATTTCAGCTATTAGGAGGCGGAAGAAACTTCCCCGCTTCAAGTGGTCTGACCCAATCAAGCAGAATTATCATGGCGATTTTCCTAGCAGTGTGGGACAAGATTTTGGGAGAAACGAAGCAGAAGATAAATGTCTCTCCTGGAAAAACCCAGATATATTAGTCACCGACTGACAGATTGACTGACTGACTGATTGACTGACTGACTAAATGAATTTATTATTGAATTAATTAATCAATTATAAAATGATGGAATGAATCACATTCACTTGACATGCCTGCGGATTTGGTCAGCTTTTTGTACTTTTACTTCATTTAAGCACTACTCAGTTAGACATTTTATTAATGGTCACAGTTTACTGGTACCATTTATATCAGCTAAATGTATATGATGTTGGAATTGTTCGCAGGGACGCAAAGGAAAAGGTACACTCTATGTATTTGCCTCCGGAAACGGTGGCGCATTTAATGACAGTTGTGGAGCGGATGGATTTGTCGGTCAGCCGGAAATCATTTCAGTTGGAGCCTTGGATGAGACCGGATCTAGGGCTGCCTATGCCGAATCTTGTGCCAGTCTTCGTTGTGCTGTCCCTGTGGGAAGTTTGGAGCGTGGAGGAAACATTTTGGTGAGCGCTGCGAACTTCGGTTTCCCATCAAATTAAATAATTCACCACGACAATAAAAATAACAACAACAACAACAAATACGATTGTATGTAAATGAAATTACGGACAACGTGTTTTGAACGGGCCAGTTTCATGCAATATAATTGTTTGAATTGACACATTTGAACTATTCCAGATCACAATCTCATTCTCATTTTATTAGTTTGTTTCTGTCGTAAGACTCAGTTCATTTTTATAACCTTTATGGCTTCAAAACGCATCAGACGGAATCTCGTGTGAGAATACAGAGCGTTCGTTGTTTATCCAAACGTTCGACCGGTATCCACACATTCATATCTTCTGCGCATCAATTATTCCACCGATTATTTTTGAATTGCGAAGTTTCACACTTTTATTATATTAGTAGTTTTTTCATAAATAGGAAGTGTGCTTATTCTGCTGTGCCATTCAATGACGGTACCCACATCATTGGGGCCGGAACTACTTCTAATTGCTTTGTCATCGAAACCATTTTACGTTTTCTCATTGATTCTTAATTTTTTTAATTTTATTATACTAATAACTCACTACAGGTCTTTCTCCTTTATTCATGGCTTAAGTACAAACTCTTCAACAGAGATATTTTATCTGATTTCACTTCGGGG